TCCAGAATCACTTCTTCACGTCATCGCTGGATGCAAGACCTACCTAAATGAAGGACGTTTTACGTGGCGTCATGATTCGGTGCTTAACTTCATAGCATCCATACTTAAATCTGTGAACCATTGTAACCTTTATGCTGACCTTCCTGGCTATATCAGTCCATCTGTTTTCACCGGAGATGAATTGCTCCCTGATCTTTTGATAACACTTGAAAACAAATGTATTTATATACTTGAACTCACGTCCCGTCGGATTTGAATCTAATCTCCTCACTAATGCAACTCGAAAAAGACAAAAATATCAAGATCTAATTAACGAACAGCTAAAAAATTATGAAAAAGTGAAATTTGTAAAAGTTTATCGATTAGCTCATTAGGAGTTTTCAGCCACCCGTCGCTAGATTTTACCGAAATGCTGAAGGATCTAAAGTTTGATAAACAATGTAGAAAGTACTATGTTCGGAAAATTATTAACATATGTATCAGGTCCTCGTATTAGATATTCTGTAAGCGTAACAAAGAATGGGATAACCCACAACTAATGTCATACTAATATTGTTATTATGTAGAGTGTTAATTCAAGTAGACACTGGTAAACTACCTGTAAAGAGAGGTTTATCATTGTAGTGTGTATACATATATTATTGAAAGTAATAAAGTTTCCATTATTATTATTATTATTATTATTATTATAATAACATATAATTATTGGTAAAAAGTGGAACTGAAAACTCAAGCCCCTAATCTCGTTTTTTTGTGCTAGACATCGAGACATATCTCCAGATGAAAACGACACAATGCTTCTCAGCCTTGCCGGAGTCCTTCAAACTAAAGTGTTTCACGCGCGCCTGGGACGAGGCCGGTTAAACTGTATAACCGACATTCCATGCAGGTTGACAGCAGATTACTTTCTGCCGTCTGAAATTTCTATCTCATATAAAGATATGACATGCTAATGATTTTTCTTTGTGTTATCCTCATGAATTATTAATGAGGGTTTGAAAGACGTTTATTACATAATTAGTTACTCTTCTTCTTGTATACCTTTATTTTTGGAACTAATGCCACGACTTGGGAAGATGTTGTCTAACTGATTGATTGCTAGTAGAAAAATATAATTTTATATTGGTTAGAAGTGCCATAAATAAAAATCTAAATTGGAAAGAATATGATTGATAAAATTTCTAACATTCAACAGGAATGTATGCTTCAAACACTTTTGTATGACACTACTACATTGAATTTTTAAAAAATTTCCTGTGGTCTCCCCTTTGATCACCCTTGGGATGCCTGTGCTCCCGCCTTTGCATTTACCAAAATGTTTTAAAACACGTTTTTATCAGTCGAAACTAACTGTTTCGATGAGAGATATGTGTAAAGAGGTTCATTCTGGTAATTTTTCTAGTCTTATTTCTGTTAGAAAATTCCTTAAACTCAAATACTCTCATGTTGTTCACACAATCAAACGATGCTGAATTGCCCTGTACGTGGTCCTTTGTCCTTGGTGCCATAGGACTTAGGCTTGTCTGTGTGCGTGTGTATGTGCGTGTGTATGTGTATGTGTCCGTCTCTGTCCATCTTTGTCCATCTCTGTCCGTCCGTCTGTCTGCACGTCGTTTAGTCTTCCTTTTGTCGTCCACCTTTTGCCTTTCCTTTCTTCTCTTGCTCATTCACTTTCTCATTCCAGCTTTTTTCCCTTTAGGCTCATTAATCTCTTACTATGATCTACATATTTATCCTAACTCATGCACCCTGTCATGCAATTTCACAAGTCTAGGTCGAGCCAATAATACCGCCTGAGTCGGCCAACAACATATTTATGCAGACTGCGTCCATAAACTCAATGTCATATCAAACATTTTCTATCTGTTTCCGTCCGTACCTGTAAAATGAGTGGCACTGATTACATTTTGCTGTTTAGATCCATTAATTGTTGCGTTTGTTTCGCTTTCTAAAATAAATTGTAATTTTCAATCAAATCAGTATATAAGCGTGCAAAGCATAATGGGAGCATTATTTAATCAGTTTAAAAATCATATATGGGTCCATTTTTTAGGAATCTTAGAGAGATGGTAAATATCTCGTTACGAGAACAATTCAGTCACAAATAGCTGCAATACTCAAGTATTAAGATTGAAACTTGTGCTCCCATTAAGCTTTGCTCGCATAAAATCTAAGGTTGAAGGTTTAAAGCTTAATTAAGATTTGCAAAAGACAATCTTTTTAATTGGCTGTATGTATATATATACAGGGTATGAAAAAAAAAACTGAACAGATTTGAAATTGCTCTCAATTTCGCAAAACAGCTATTAGTATCCAGTTTTTTATATATATGGCTTCTTTGGGTACTTATAATGTAGAATAATAAAAAATTTCTCGAACACAAATTTTGTAAACCAGGGGGGTGTCTTTTCCGACAAACCAAACATGGCTTGCGCACGAGATTTAAAAGGTATAATCGTATTTTGAGTTAATGAATGAAAAACGTGTTGGGTGTTTAATTAATTGCTGCACGAAATTTCAGACAATTTGCTTCAGTTTTAAGCCCTTCAACTATTCACGCAAACTTACATTTTTCCTAAAATATCAGCAATTTGCATGCTTATATTAATTAATGCATTTGCCTAATTTGAATATGTCAGCAATATGCAAATTAGGTAAACGCATTAATTAAGCATGCGAAAGGCTGATCTTTTAGGGAAAATGGATAGTTAAAGAACTTAAACTAAAGCAAATTGTCTGAAATTTTGTACAGTAATTACAAACACAACAATGTTTGCATCCATGAACTCAAAATACGATTAAAGCTTTTAAATTTCGTATTTTGTTGAAAAAGACACACACCCTGGTTCACAAAATTTGA